AATTACATTTTATTTTTCTTCCCTTGATGCCAAAGCTTGGCTTTTTGCCTGCTAAGTAAGAAATTTTTTTTTTGTGGATTTTCAGGGTTCATTCCTTCTTATTGGCTACTCTTATAGCAATTCAGGTTTGCATCAGTATTTTAAATTGCATTGGATCTTACACCCATCTTAATTTGATTCTATAAGTAGATCTATTCAATTGGAACCAGAGTAATGTGGCTCATTGTCACTGCTGGCATATCAAGGAGCACGAGAAACATTTTGAGGAAAATCGAAGACAACTCAGGATTAGGTCACTGAAATCAGCGATTAACCAAAGTTTTATTTGATTTATAGTCTGTAAATCACCATAAAAATCCTAAATTTGATTTGAAAATTTGATTTTCTGAGTAAAATAAAACCCCATATCCCAGCTGAAATTTCAACTCATTTTTTCCTCAATTTTCACTGCTGAAATCGCCTGAATATATCCTCATTTGTATGATTTCTTTGCTCGAACGAAGCCACAATCTAGGAAATCAATCATAAAAAGTGGAAGAGAAAAGTACATATGGCAGAGAAAATTTTGGGTTGGGTTAATAATAAATTAGGTGATTTCAATTTATCATAGTGAAATCGAACCCTTATCACGAATAAACACAAATATTTTTCTTTCATGTCTAAATTAATGCCAAAGTTTGTGATTAGATCTCAAAATAGAATTTGTGAATGGATGCCTCTGTTTCATAGTGCTAGATGCAAAATAAGTGAGCAGAAAAAAAAAATACTCAATAAATCACTACAGAAAATACTTAAAAAGGTATATGTGGGAAAGAATATTTTTTAGGACATTGTGCATTCGTTTGAATGAGATCATTGCTATCAAGCATTTGGATTTTGAGAATACGAACAGTAATTTGTTTAGCCTTTTTGCTTAAGTATTGTTCAATTTTTTTAATGGAGTTATTTCATTGATAATTGATCATAGCGAGTGGATCATACACTAGAATAGGTGTTAAGAGTGAAATTAAGAATTTTTGCAAGCTGATATGGTGTGCATTATATTTATTTTAAGCCTTTTTACAGCATGTCTTTTTGTAATTTGTACTATAACTTAGAGATCTTTTCCAGTTTGGGCTTTGAGAGGACATTTTATAGTTCTTCTCCAGATTTCTTTCATGGTTTTTCTGTTGCTTGTAAATGTGTAAATGGGTTTCAGTGGAAATTTGTGTGTTGAATTATTATCATTATTATTATTTGCATGGGTACGAATTATTATTTGCACTATTTGTTGAAGACAACAATCTTAACAGCTCTTGTGCTGATTTGATTTTTTCTGAAAACAATTAGCTATTCTTTACTTTCTAACTCTTGATGAATTTTAATGAGTTGGGAAATGGATGTAGAAGACTTGGGTTTGTGGCATGTATTATAGCATTTGATGAAGTGAATTCACCTTGTTTTATTGCAGGCTGCAAGAGCCTTTTTGTAATTTCTGGTTTGTTATGGCACAATGGGTAAATCTCTGGCCAAATGGCTGAAAACATTTCTTTTGGCAAAAAAACCTCCAGATCGCATGTTTCGAAAGGGTCTTTGGTAAGTTAATCATGGCTTTGTGTGCCTAGACCTTTTGAAGATTTTTGGTATGGTTTTTTTTGTTTCTTATGTCAAATCCTCTCATACCTATGTGGATGTGTCCATTGTCTTGTGAAACCTATTTTTATTGTTTTTCTTTTCATTTTCTTGGTATTCAGATTTATGCATTTCTTCTCAACTTGCAGATTATAATGGAATCTTTGTGAACTGGAATAACATGATGGAACTTGACTTTTAAAAAAATAACATGATGGAATTCTGATTAAGTAACATTATTTCGTCTGATATCCTCAATTGACACTGCATTTTATTTGATTGTTTATTATTTTGCAATCTGTTCAACTTGGAGATTATGCATTTGATTGGCTCTTTATTTGCATATGAAGTGTGGTGTGAGTGTCTTTGCTGGGTTTCTATGTAAAGTCATAAACAGTGAGAAAGAGTGAATGGATTTCTATTGCATGTGAAAGGTCAAAACTACCTATCCATAGAAAGGGAGAAAGGAAAACTTGAACTTTATGGGCATCTTATGAAGTGTGCAAAAGCAATATGGCCTAGTCATGGGGAGAAAAAAAGACAAAACACAACAGGGGAGAAACTTACTTGTATGGGCTGCTTGCTCAGATATTTTCTTTATATTGAAGAGGTTTACAGTGAAGTAATGTGTTGTTTAAGCACTTTTGAGTAAGATTTACCTTGTGTTACACACTATAAGATGGTTATCCTCTCTGATATTGTATAACCAGTTCACTGGTAGCCACATTGCAACCTCCCATAGTAACATGTCAAAATTATTGAATTTGTGAGCATTATTTTCTTCTCGAGAGTAAATTATGTCTTCTAGCCAACCCCAAACAATCGGGATAAGGCTTGGATAATGATGATGATGATATTGTTTGTTTCTCTTTTTATTACAATATACAACAACCATTAATAAAAAGTGTAATTGAGTATTTTATTTCTCTCTGAATTTCTGAAATGCTTCCAAATGGCCACAGCGAATTGATGACGACTTGAATCTAGTATAATTGGTACATAGGTTGTGGCTCCCTGTTCAAAATTGCATCTATCGTGATATTTGGAATAGGCTGCATATTTACTGTGCACTCGATGCCTATAGATTGAAACTTTGATTCTGTCAGAGTCATGAATACAAGTCATGAAGATTTTGTCTGTGACTATACATTTTAGATACATATATGTTGACTTTCTTTTATAACCATCTGGTTCTCTAAGTTGTAGATCTTTTGGAAGCAGTTTATCCTTCCCTCGTACCCCTGCTCCTGTTGCTAATTTGTGCTCCCAGTGCTTGTTTGATATTTGTTATTTATGACATTTCTTTTCTTTTCTTTTTTTTTAAATTGCAGTCATGTATTGTAAATTCAAGGTGGAATCTAAAATGTCTTCTAAATACTGCATATTTGTCGACAAATTCATGAAGAAGGATGCAATGTAATTGTGCTTTTTGGGGTTCTTCACAAGGATGCAGTGTTCAAGACACACCCCATGAATGTGTTCATGAAAGGACTCTCAAAGGAATATTTTTTGGAAACTATAAGCCACATTCTGATCTTCCACCCATTGCCGACAAATACATGAAGAAGGTATACGTCATATGGAGAAGTTCATTACACATTCAATCTTATTCTTAGAGATCAATAAGACTTTTGAAAACATGCTCAAAGGGGATGATCTTTGCTGCATTATTTGAATGGAAGAGTAAAAGAAGCAAAACAAAATAAATTACTTGGTGGTTGAGTCAGCTCAATCGAGTTACCTTTTTGAAGCTTCATTTGTATATGGCTTTTTCTTCTTTCATGAGGTGTTTAACCTCTTTGTATCTTTCCAGTGGTTTGTAATTGATTGTAATTGGTCGTTGCTTAATTAATGGTAATTTTTTGTGAATGGAATTCTCGGTTTCTGGTATTTTTCAGTTTGTCTTTTTTTTTTTCGTAGATACACACATAAAGAGAGAGAGAGAGAGAGATCTGGTTATCAACTACGATGAAACATAAGCTCATTTATTTGGTTGAGACGAGAGAGAAAGATCATTCAAATCTGAGGCCTATAAGAGAGAGCTGGTTATCCAAAATAGGTCTATGATGGTTATAAAGCTATTATGCACGCCTTCTGGCATGATAAAAGGTGAAAATGTATCAGCATAAAAAAGTAAAATAAAGTGAGAACTGTAGATATATAAATACATTCACTATCCAAGTAAACCCACATTGCACACGTTAATGATGTACAAGAAAAAGAAAGAAATATCACACATATGTTACCAAAAATTCACCAAATAGATTCTCTAGATGCCCCATAAAGAGGTACTTTACATGCTTCCATAAAGAGATCCTTTACATGCCCACAAAATTACATGAATATTCAATATTCACATAACCCCTAAAGTCAACTACAAAAAAGGGCATTTACATGTCTCCAAAATTCAAAAACTTAGTCAATTCCTTTACATGCCTCATAAATAGATCTTTTACATGCCTGTAAAATTCATTGAATATTCACATAACACCCAAAGTCAACTACAAAAACGGGCTTTTACATACCTCCAAAATTCAAAAAATCAGTCAATACAAAAACTCCTTTAAAAAATCCTCGATGCCAATGTGTCGGGATTTGATCTTCCGATTGGGAGCTTCTCACTTCAATGTTCCCAAGTACATCATCGTTCACATTGTCATCCTGGGGCTCCTCTAAAGGGATTGGACAATACTTCGAAAGGTAACCTAATGCCTCAGTGGCCCAATCCCAATCTTTGGATCGGATACTATCTCTCAAGAACTCTGTGCTATGGTGGATGTCCTCCCACTACACTATAAAGCCGAATGTTAATTGGAAAAAAGAACACAACAATGAACACTAAAGAAATTCAAAGCATGAACTCTGTGCTATGGTGGATGTCCTCCCACTACACTATAAAGCCGAATGTTAATTGGAAAAAAGAACACAACAATGAACACTAAAGAAATTCAAAGCATGACTAAAGTGTAATTAATATAATCTGTAACAAAATCATAACATGACTAAAGTGTAATTGGTATAATCTAGCCTCCTATGAAAATTTAGAGCAGCGCATGTCAATGGTTGTGATGCTGTTTTTTACACCATGAAAATGCACAACACCACTATTTTTACATTCAACCATACCAGCCTGCTGGGGAGTATTCCCTGATACATTATAAGATGTATGTTCCCCACTGTAATCAGCAGCACGTTAATAGATTTCTCAAACTTGGTTTGAATAATCGTATTAGGGAAACAAATACATGTCACTGTCTTCAGATATGCTTTATAAAAACCCAAGAATACTAAGAGAAATCATCGGCCAATAACACAAGTAGACGTGCAAGTTTTCAAGCAACAAGAGAATCCACACATCATTAAAATGCACCATTAAAAACTTGAAGAACATCTCAATGATTGTAAAGGAAAATAGAAGACCAAAAATCAGATGATCCAATGAAGAACTATAAAGGACCAAAAAGGTTGTGCCATCAAATTAATGATAAATATGTAACCAGTATTCACTGCCTCTAATATCAGCGCACAGTGTTCAATAAAAACATTAGGTGCATTACTAATATCAGTCTCCTTAGATTTGAAACCCTTGAAATAAAAGTGCCAAAATAAAGAGATGGGATGCACTGAAGATTGAAATAAATACATACTGCATCCGTGGCTAAGAAATCAGCATCAATAAAAACATGATTATTGAACCAGTCATAACATAAGTAAGCAAACACAGTCTTACAAAATTCAGATCATGTCCGCCACATATTGAACCATGTCTTTGGCATAAGTTACAGTAATGGCTTGTACACACTATCATTCGTTTGTGATTGTTCAGCCAACTTGAATCTTGAGCAAAAGTAAACACGAATTGTATGCGCTAGTTTCTGTCCCGACGCATTCAAGACTAACTACCAGACTTTAAGCAAAGAGTCTGAAAATAAACAATTCCATACCCCTAAAATAAACGAAGGTAAAAAATACTAAATTCTATTCGAAAAGGAATACTAATGAAAGTAATAACATCAACTTAGAAAATTTTGCTAATTAACAACTCCTTGATGGATTTTATAAATTAAAAATATAAATGAGATCAACCATGAGTACTCAAAAATAAAAATAAAAACTAAAAAAATGAGAACTATTGTTCATTAAATGTAATGAGGTATAAGACAAAAAGGCTCATCAAATTACTGTTCATATTATCAAAATCCAAAACCTTGATGGCAATGATCTCATTCAAATGAATGCACAATGTCCTCAAAAATATTCTCTCCCACATATACCTTTTTAAGCATTTTTTGTAGTGATTTATTGAGTTTTTTTTTTTTTTTTTCTGCTCACTTATTTTGCATCTAGCACTATGAAACAGAGGCCTTCATTCACAAATTCTATTTTGAGATCTCATCACAAACTTTAGCATTAATTTAGTCATGAAAGAAAAATATTTGTGTTTATTCGTGATAAGGATTCGATTTCACGGGGAGAACTTGAAATCACCTAATTTATTATTAACCGAACCCAAAATTTTCTCTCCCATATGTACTTTTCTCTTCCACAATTTATGATTGATTTCCTTTCCCCTTTTTGGAGATTTATTAGGGAAAAATGTAGGGTTTTATTCGAACTCTTCAATTTGGGATCTACCAAAATTTTGAGAATTTTGTTTTTCTTTTTTTTTTTTTTAAAAAAAAGGTTTTATTCTTGATTTGGGATTGTTGTTTATTTAGAGATTGTGGCTTCGTTCGAGCAAAGAAATCATACAAATGAGGATAGATGCAGGCGATTTCAGCAGTGAAAGTTGAGGAAAAAATGAGCTGAAATTTCAGCAGGGATATGGGGTTTTATTTTACTCAGAAAATCAAATTTTCAAATCAAATTTAGGTTTTTTATGGTGATTTACAGACTATAAATCAAATAAAACTTTGGCTACTCGCTGATTTCAGTGACCTAATCCTGAGTTGTCTTCGATTTTCCTCAAAATGTTTCTCAGCGTTCTCCTTGATATGCCAACAGTGACAATGAGCCACATTACTCTGGTTCCAATTGAATAGATCTACTTATAGAATCAAATGAAAATGGGTGTAAGATCCAATGCAATTTAAAATACTGATGCAAACCCGAATTGCTATAAGAGTAGCCAATAAGAACCAATGAACGGAAAATCCAGAAAAAAAAAAAATTTCTTACTTAGCAGGCAAAAAGCCAAGCTTCGGCATCAAGGGAAGAAAAATAAAATAGTAATCGTTAATTAAAAAATTAAGAGAGAGAGAGAGAGTACCACGAGTATAAGACGAATTGATAGCAATGGAGATGACCGAGATATTTGGTGCAGAGAAGTAGCAACTGACAACGAAGAGCTATCTGCAAATCTCCTTGCATTAGGGTTTACTCGCCTCCTCCACATGGCTCCCAATCTCTCCAACAACAAACCAAACCTTCGCACAAATGACACAAACCAAATTATTGAGAGAGGAAGCAGAGGGTCTGTAGCCGCCAGGAGAGCCGAAGGCGAGCGAGAGAGAAGGAGCTTCGTAGAGGAAATATCTGATTCACAGAGCACGTGGGAGGAGAGCGTAGCCCTGATATTCCGGTCGGTTTGAAGCTTTTCCTTTTCGCGCGTGGTGCTTTTAAAGTGGATCAGGCCAACTGTTTGCCTTAACATAAACGGACGATGGATATGGGCCGTCTGTTTGCCTATCCATAAACGAACGATGGATATGGGGGAGGTGAAAGCAATGGGCTTTCTTGCCTACAGGCGTTCGGAAGTATTTTCATATATATATATATATATATATATATATATATATATATATT